TGAATAATGACCCGATGGCGCCAGCCGAGGGCCATTACACGCTGAAGGCCATAAACGCTTCATACGCACATGATGCATACAACATTTTATTTACTAGTGATTCCTTCCTCGAGTCAAACTCATTGACTGAATTTCAATTAACAAAATTTTATATATAACGTATGAATGCGGTAATCAAGACAAGCGTAATGATTATTGGGAGTTCACATAAATTGAAATTATCGTATGAATAACGCATTTATCGTAGTACCTACTCTTTGTTCACTAAAATAAATTAATTCCATGAAATGTTACAAAATGCTGTATAACCTGTATATATCTACATAATTTTGACGTTTGTCAATCAAGCTGATATGGCTGTTGTCTAGCAATACTTACATAAAAAAACCGAACTAAATTGTCATCCTGTAGGTGGGAACTTCAGAGAGCTAGAGAACAATTATTTAAAGAAGTGCGTTAGTAGAGTGATAATGGAACCGCGGGCGGTAAAGTGACCCTTTACGCCTTCAGAACCGGGCGGTAAAGTGCAGTTTACCGCCCGCTGGTGCATAAAATCAAAAGCTTAATTTCGAGATTCAATTTGTTCTCAACTTAACAATTGACAATGTGTGATGACCTCAGTTTTCTGATGTGCCGCGAACTGAATTTCAGTTGTATGCCGTGTTCACATTTCCAAAAAAAAAATTGTGGTTGCAAACTGGTGATAACGGCTTATTTCACTGAGTCGTTGAAAATCGAAACCGTCATAAAAATATGATGAAAATATATTCTACTTTAAAATCATCTCCTTATTTTGAGGAACCCTCAAACGCACTATCAACCAAAATTTCAGCAGTACGCTGAATTTCTCGAGAACAATAATAAATTGATTCTATAACTTTTTTCTTGGAAATAACCCCACATGGAAAATACAATCACCAGCCAAAAGAAACGGCCACCAAATGATTTCCATAACTGTTCACCCTGTAACTTTTTTAATACTTGTCCGATTTTTGTGATACTTTGATCGAATCGTAGATTTATGCTCCGTTATGTTAGCATAAGAATCAGTTTCCGTGAAAAACTGATGACTTGATCATTATACAGGGAAATACCAAAAACTTACTCTTTGGCCCTCTACTTCTCAACGCCCTGTGATGGCGAAATTTAGTAGATGTATTTGGCTTTATTATGCTTTGGATTGAAGTGTGATCCTTTCTTAAAACAATAGTTTTTTATCCACATCATGATCTTATTTGTAAGAGAAGATGCGAGTGTTTTAGGAAAGAATAGCATTTTTCAATTATTATTAATGAGTATCAGAACCTACATATACTTATTGATCAACAGCTTGAACAATTGATATCACTTATTTCTACCTAATTTTCTTACCACTTACCGGAAATAACCTTAATCACAATAAACAAACAAAAAGCAGACCTGGCAAAGGCGAATCATAGCCCTTGGAGAGTCTCTGACAAGGCCGGACGAAGGCGAATGAATCTCTACGATGCTCTATTGGTTCTGAATTATTGTTAATAAAAACAAAAATATTCCATTTTTTCTTGTAACACTTCGTATCTTCTATTGAAAATAAGATATTGACGTGAATCTAGAACCATTGTGTCAAGAAGGAACGAAATAGGATCACACTTCAATCAAAAACATCATGAAGCAGCAGGTCCATACTTCCTTGAAACACTTGGATGTTCTCTTGAAAAGGAGTTATCGACTTGAATCAAGAACCATAGTGTTAGGAAGGGATCACACTTCAATTAAAAACATAATGAAGGCCATTTTAACCACGCACCTTTGCCACAGGGCGTTAAGAAGTTAAGGGTGAACGAGTAACTTTTGTTTTTCCCTGTATAATGATCAAGCCATCAGCTCCTCTTAGACACCATTATCCAGGAAAACATCATAAAAGGTGAATATACGATTTGGTCGAAATTTCAACAGAATCGCACAAGAATTCAAAAAGTTACAGGGTGGACAACTTGACTACATTTTATGGTGGCAGGTTTTTTTTTCGGTGAGTGTATGTTGAGTATATAGATTTTCATGAGGAATATCAATTTTCTGACGACTTCACAAAGTAGTCAAGATTTTTGCTAGTAATAATCTTGCCTTTTTGGGGTACTAATAATATCACTCTACTGGCAGAAATATGAAGAGAATTCCACAAATTCCTCATCGCACTCTCTGTTAGCCCCTTCGACAAAGTTGTTTTCTCATATCAAAATATCACCAACTACGAAATATTTGTCTACCACAAACGTGAATCCCACACTCTCTTTTATAGATTTTGGCAATCTCATTCCATAAATTATGCTCAAAACGTACGTATTGGAACCGTTCCAGCACCTTATGTGAAATAAAGTCAACTGATGGCCCACTTAAATGTGATCACTAGCATTTTCTACACCACGTTCGGATTATTATCTATCGCTTTTGTTTCTTTCATTGTTTGGTACGTTGAAGAGAAAGCCTTATTCATTGATAGACATATCCACTATTCAATGAGTATACATCAAGTGTTCAATATCAATGTTCTTCAGAATCATCTGCAATAATTCCATGACTAGCAATACCAGTCAGACGTACTCTCGAGTCTCGACATCCTTCTGTCGTCAACCTCGAAATGTGTCGTAAAACTATTTCCCAAAGCCCGTTTTTTCTTCAAAACAAAAAAGCTTTGTAACTATTTGTCAAAGGAAGTATTCCGAAGAACTCATAACCTCCAAAAGTTTAGAATAATTCCAATACGTACCTTCCCTCCTCATGCTCTCTAGGTACGCACGATGTTCCTTGATCATTATACGGATTCCCTATCGTGCGCGTCCAACCGATGAAAATAGTTATTCTAATTCATTAATTTTAAATTAAAAGCTTTTATTTTACTTGCATTGTATGTTTGTATGTATGTATGTTCGGCTGGAATCTTTGAGGTTATAAGTTGATAGTCAAAATTATTAGGAAAAATTTCATTTTCTTCTTTTCAGAGCGTTTATATAAAATCTTTTTATCGAAAAGTTTTTTTTTTACTTTGAATTTATTTGTATCTACAGCGCGAAATGCTACTTTGGTGATCAAGATCTGATTTTTTCAACGAGGCGTACTTATCAAAAGGTATTGTGGCATCAGTGAACTGTCATTATTTTAGAGGGGGAATTCAACTGGTCAGTACTGTCAGTATGTCCACTAACTTCGCTGAAAAACTGTGTTCCGAAATACCTATATAATCAAAAAGGGAGTGCTGTAATTTGTAACATGTTTTCATGGTTGCAATCAGTTATGAGCAGCAGTTGATCAGCTGGTGAATTTTGTCAGTTGTCAGGTTGTCACTTAAGTATAGTTTATCGTTAATCTGAACTAGATATTATTCTCAGCGTGAATTATCTCAATAACAGGCATTTTCTGATATCAAAAATGATAATATCAATTTATTGTTGATAAAGTTTTGTTCATCAGTAGGAATGGTATTTCTGTATCATGGTGCCCAGATAACACAATGATATTCATGGACCTCCATGTCTGGACACCATGGACATCCATTGGATGTACACCAGATTTCAATGTTTTTCTATCGGATATCCATCGGATAACAAATGCCCGAATATTTGGACATCTACTGGATGTCCAATGTATGTCCTTCAGGCATCCATTGGATTGCAAATGGCAATCCAATTAATATCCATTGGACATCAATTGGAATCATCCATTCATTGGACATCAAATATATGTCCCCTAGTCATCTAATTGATTTTGAATTTAGGTCCAATTATTGTCCAAAACCAATCCATTGGATATGTGTAAATTTGTAACAGGAAGGTAGGATCATCAAATAATATAAGTGGATCAGTTGTAACCAGAAATATAAGTTTGCGAATAGCAAAGAAAATTCGGAAACGGTATACTTAATAGAAACGAATTCGGTCTCAAGATTCCCATATGCATTTGGTGCAAATTTATCTTGGTATTCTTGGTCACCCTGTTGATTGTGTGTTCAATATAAGTGTGGAAACAAAAATGTTTTACTATTTCTTACATTTTGAACATTGCAACAGAAACTGCTATTTTTGATTTTGAAATAAAATGAAACTCAGCATTTTACATAAACTCAATGAGAATCATATCATAGTTCAATCTATAAGTGGAGAAACATAAATCATCACTATTTCTTTCACAATAATATGCACACAATGATCAATGATATGCACACCACAACAACAAACACAATCACAATGAATCGAACCGTAAACCATAATGGCGTCTTTGGCGTCAGAGACAACACAGTACACACTACCACTACCACTACACACTAGACTTCGTTTCGTTTTCGTGCATCAGTTTCTTTCCTGACCGTATGGCGCCGCTGACGTAGTCTGCAAACCGCGCGTAGTTTCAAAAATTCAATTTGAGATATAATTATATTCAAAATACAACGCAAATATATGACAACAATATATCGCATGATGTTGACATTTTCACTATGCCTTGACCTCAAAAATAGAGACAAGTGAATCAATGTTCAATCTATCCTAAGAAATTATCAAAAATTGATGAGTGAACGATATACAATGGATATATAGAAGCAGAGATATCAATTGTGAATCTAAAAATGAATGTCCATTGGATGTACATATCCAGATGCTCATTGTTCATCCACAAAATAGATGTCCAAAGGATATATAATATCGGTTGTCCTTTTTACCATCTAGAAATGGATGCCCAATGGAAGTACTGATTTACATATCCATTGTTCTCCTACAAAATGAAAGTCCAATAATTTCCCATCCAATGATTATCTATCTAAATTCAGATGTTCGTTGTATATCTTCAAAATCGATGTCCAACGAATGTCCATGGACATCCCGGTCCTGATAGACACATAATGGATATCCAATGGACACACATGTGTTGGAAAAGAATGATTGTTGTCTCCAAGAATGAACATTATTTGTGTTACAACTTATATAGCCGTCGATTGAACTGATCATTTCCCATTCAACTGTTTGCAGGAGAACAAAACTTACGCCTCAGTCGGATACAGTGTCGGTTATGGCTACGGTCGACAATTCATCGACAGACGGACAGATTGGAGGGATGTCATTCTACCAGCGACTCCTTTCCACTCTCCCGGAGTCCAATCTATGAGCTACGTAATCCGGGGATTAGAATCCGGGCAAAATTACGAAGCTAAAGTTCAGGCGAGGAACAAATTCGGCTGGAGCCCCATATCGGAAGCTTTTACATTCCAGACGACGGATTCAGGTTGGTATTAGGAACCTAATTTCAGGATGTCCAAATATCCTGTGCATTTCATTTAACGATCGCCGACTCATTGGTGATCGAATTTTGTTCCACAAAATAATATAAACAAGAAGATGATGATGTTATTATGTTGATTCATCAGGAATTCGATGATATTTTCGAACTAGATGAGTAAAACTATTTTTTTTTTCAAAATTATAGCATCAGAACGTACTAGAATTTACATCACTTAATAAAATCTAATATTTTTCCGGTGGATAATGAACATATTTTTTTATGTGACAGGAAAACGGAATCAATATTGAAGATCTTACATTGTATCAGAATCAGAAAATTATCGACGTGAAATTTGGAGTTTTCAACAGGGATTATACCTGAAGGTAGTTGTTTTCTATTGAATATACCAAGAAAGAATCAATATTTTCATCACATAGAGAATGCCAATTCTCAATATAATTCTTTATATACATATATCCATTTTTGTAAGTTCATAATTCCATCAAAATATTCTTTTTCAATACACTCACCCAATCAAAGGGTTCAAACTCGAACGATGAAAACTTGTTATTTTTATAGACCTTCAATCGCAGATTCGTGATTAGGTTTTCTCAATTCAGAATTTCTTTCCACGTCCTGTATGATGAATATCAATTTATTATACATCCAAAAACGTAACAATGTTGTTTTTCTGCAACCGACACAAAAGTCGTCCATTTTGATACCAAAATTAGCTCTTAAATTGACGTTTCTATTACTGACACAAAAATAGGTATGTTGCTAGGCAACATATTTAGTTCCTAGGAGCTGAAGTTGGATTTTACTTCCTTGGAGCTAAAGTTGAACTTTAGCTCCTAGGAACTAAAAAGGATCTACTGGACGTCATCAAGAATAAACAACATTGTGATGGTTGGTTATTTGGGTTGAGACGCATACCTGATTTGTTTCCGATTTCGGCAGATTTGGCATTTCATACCCATGCTGGAGATATAAATACACCTTATTATAGTTGAGTATTGGAATTCTAAACATCCCAGTTAAGTGTTTTTGTTTTGATCAGGGAAGCCTTCAAGATTCAAATACTTGCTTGATCTGTATTTCATTCGTTATTTCGGGATGGGTAACTTGTTTTTGAATAATCACGGCAAGCAATAGTTTTTTTGTCTCAAACAACGATATTGTTTAGCTTCATTTGATTATCGAGTCAAACACAGTGTAGTATGGAGAGGAATAAATAATCACTATTATAATTGTTGATATGCTCACTAACCTAACATTTTCCACGTCTTGTTCCTATATAGCTGGCACTGGCGCGGTATTTGCCATTAAAGCACCTGGTCCATACACAAATATGTCACTCTGTGATTGTATTTATATTGAAACTACAATTCGAACATCCTAGAAAACCTAACCTGCTGTTAATGTTGGGTTACTTCACATGTTTATTTGAGGTAATTGTTTCGGTTGCAGAAAAAATAGCTAAACGCTCCGCCTCGCAAATGCAAAATTAGCTTGTCAAACAAAGTGTCACTTTTGATCCTAATAAAACAATCTACTATTATTCTCGATGACCTAGAACATCCTTTATAATTCCTAGGAGCTAAAGTTCAACTTCAGTACCTAAGAACTAAAAGTGTTGCCCAGCAACATAACTATATTTGTGTCAGTATAATAGAAACGTCAATTCAAGAGCTGCTTTTGGTATTGAAATGGACGATTTTTGTGTCGGTGAAAAAAAAATGTCTTCACAATGTTGCCAGTAGTTTCGACATAATCGTAAAAAATGTGTGAACATTTTTTTTTCTACAACTTGTATCTCGAAAACCCAACTCATTTTGCAGTGTTCTACCTACCCTTGCAAGGGGGTCACCTATTTAGAAAACACCCGTTATCTTCGCTTTTCCAAAAAAAAACACGTTTACACCAATCGACATTTGATTACCATTCTCAATACACTGTACTTCATTATTTTTCAGATATGGGCTATCCAGAAAGGCCTCTGTCTCCAAAGCACACATATAATGGTAAGAATTTGGAATGCTGTCAAAATATCATTGCTATATCTGCGCAGATCACAAAACTCCCAGATGCGGAAGCTAGGCCTCCCACTGGAACCCAATTAATTTGCATGCGCCTATGCGGCGTCGTCATCCCAGACGGCACCTCATATTCCTGGAATATGCCTACTACATCCTATTTTCCAATAAATATCGCCATATCCCTGGAATATTCCATGAATATGTGCTCAATCTAATATCCTCAAAGAATATTCCTGGAATATGTTCTTCGTATGTTCATCAGATGTTTTTCGAATATCTCAAGAATATTGCGAAATTAGGTTGTCGAAATGCCGATCCATCCCGAATGAACACGACAAGATTCTGTCGGTCATCGCCTTCCCCTTTGTTCCCCAGTCACCTAGTGAAGGACGTGATTACAATATGGACTCGAATGACACGATTAATTCAAATATGAAGAGACAGAAGGAACATTGAATAAGGGTTTCAGCTGAAGTGCTATTATGTTTATCGATTACTGTGAAATAGTGTCGATATCAATGATAAAGACCTACAAGTTGCAGACTCTCGTAAATATGTTACAATAGAAAAATGGAACCAGGAACTCTTCTAACCGCCATTATAACGACCTCGTTTCGATGAAAAAGTCACAGATGTGTTTCAAACGGTTTCAAATCTTAAACTGAAAAGGATCATAAAAAGATTTAATGACACTGGATACCGGTAGAAGCACCTCATTTTTTTTTCAGTACATCATTTGTCAGATGGACAATCCAGAAAATGTTCGTTTTGTTGAAGATATAAACCAGACAAATGAATAAACAATCGATTGAAATCGGCTGTGGACAAATTATGTAGAAGTTCTTCCAACTTTTGTTGCACGCCCGAAGCAAAGCTGAGTGAATTCTATCAGTTTTCATATTCAAGTATTTGCTATTCTATTCATGTATATCCATTGCCGATCCTGTTGAATTCATTACCGATTCCGATAAAGAAACAGGGAATCATATTATATATAAAGTGCAAGCCTCAAGTATCTTACATACCTACATCCTGTGAATTGATTTCTATAGAAACATATCCCTAGCATATGACACCAATATCTTTTGGATGATTTACAGATATTTCTGGTAGGTACCTATATGTCTAATGGTGACTTCAGATATTCCTGAAATATGAATATCATAATAATACGTTCTGGAAAACATGGAATATTCATGTCATATGTCAATATAATAATAATAATAATAATAAACAATGAAAAATCCCTCTAGCCTGGCAGAACATTGCAAGTCATCACTTCATACCTTTGACTTCAATTCTGTTAGTATTATATAGGACAACAGACAATATTGAGAAAAAAAGACTCTTAAACGAAATGATTGAAATAACAAAACATGGAATACAATGTGTTAGCAAAAGATCGGATATTGAGAATTTACACACCTCATATTTCAATTTAATGGGAAAAATCAAACAATAATTCCGAATCATCAGCAGGCGACTTTTTCCAATCCCGATTATTATTTCTTTTTCAACAAACGTCAAAAAATGACAAGGTTCGAGCATTGATCACAAATTGCGAAGTGACACTTTTTTTCAGTTTCCTACGTTACCATGATACCTTGCAGAAAAACAATGCGCGAAGTACCTACTTCGCGCATTGTTATGTAAAATATATAAGATATTTATATTTCAACTTTATGGTCCTCAATCGAGCTAAGCATATTTTTACTTTAAAACTATATTTTTGACGTTTGTAGAAAAAATGTTGTTTGCAACTCGAGCGCGAAATACTTTGGTCATCTCGACTATTTTTTTAACTCTGCTACGCCTCGTTAAAAAAATCAGATCTCGATCACCAAAGTAGCATTTCGCGCTCTAGATACAAAAATAACTATTCACGAGCCTTTTTTGCAATATAAAGAAACGATTCAACGACAGGTCAGTTTGTTCATTCCTTCATGTTCGTGTCTGTGTTAAGGTCTTTCATGAACCTGTGTGTACGTATTTATACTTTATGTCGATTTTATTTATTTCACTATTTTTAAAAACGGAAAGCCACCCTAAATGTAAGTACCTTTCGAAGTTGTTTTCTGTAAAGTGTGAGAAGTGTTTTATTTTCAACGATTGTTATATTTCACATAACTTATTTTGCTTTTATCAAAACCTCTCATTTTAAAATATCATTTCAATATGTATGTTCTTGTTTTAACTTCAGTGTCCTGAAGATGAAACAAGGAAGTCTCTAAACGTCGACAATTTAAAAATTGGTTCTCTTCAACATTTCGACTGAATTCCCGCCAACTCAACACCAGAAATAATGATAATATCAATAATAATAATGATGTATTTATTGGACAAGAAGATTTGCAACACACTGAATAAAACAATAGTTATCATGTCCCAGGCGAGATTCAGGTACTCCTCAAAGGGGGAGCCCTGGTCTACCATATTCCAACGCAATATGCACAGGATATTCATAGAATATGATTGTATCGTCTGGAATGGTCACAAGGGGAAATTGCTTTTACTAAGATGGATTTAACACTGCTTCCACTCCACTTCGTCAAATTTAAATGATCAGGAATATTAACATTTTTCCAGTTTCATTATTGCACTTTATTTAAGATACTGATATGTGTAGCCAAATCGGTCACTGCACCGACGATAAAGGTGAGTTCCCAATGCATCGTTTCTGCTTTTCGCGTCACGCACTCTGATTGGTGACGAGTAATCCGGAATCTGTACCGCTTTTTTGATTATTGTTTAGTTCCCAATGAATGATTTTCAGCTACTTATGTCGTTATTGTCAGGAAAATGTCAAAGTAGATGAAAATAATCTAATAAAATGGAAGCAAGAAACAAAAATAGATTGAGAAAATTGCTGCTATTAGCTTATCTATACTGAGAAAACGAAGAAGACAGGGAAAAATGAGATCATGCTGGGTCAGACCTACCCTTACAGTTGATGATTTCAGTGCACATTCCGCAGT